AGATGTGGCCCCAGGGACAGTGGGTGGCAGAGAACTGCCAGAGGGCAGGGCCAGCGCTTTGCTCTTTCTTCAGTGCCTACCTCTCCACTCCCCTTTCTTCTAAAAGTGCCTGCTCAGCCTCAAAGCCCCTCCGCCCTGTTTTCCTTCTTGTGGCCCCTGAGCCACATTCCTTGAGTTCCTGGAATATAACCAGAAACCTGTGCAGCAGCGCGGATATCTTGTCTGTGGAAGGCACTGGCGGGGGAGGGGGGCCTGAGATTTGCTCAGAACTTCACAGTGGAGCTGTGAGCCCGGGATGTCTGTATTTGCTGCCTGGGGCCCCACATTTGCCATCAGACCTTTTCCTGCTCTGCCACCCTAAACAGAGCCCTGGACAAGGGGCCCAGTGGGGCTGACCCAGGGGCTGAATGTAAACCAATGCACACTGGTTGAAACTCTAGTGTACCTGCAAGTTTGACAAACATATTCATGCTTTCCCCCAGGAAGGCCATCGGCCTGTGTTTTACCTGGCTGGCCTGAGCCCCTCCGTCTTCCTTCCTCGCCCCCGTCCCCTGGTGACCACTTATTTCTGTCTATACGTTTGTCTTTTAATGAATGTCATGGAAATAAAATCATATGTACATCGTCCGTCATGTCCGCTTTCTTTCTTTTAGGTCAGAGCCTTTGAGATTCTTCAGGGAATGTGCGGGTGATCTGTGGGTTGCCGTGGCCAAGCAGTGGTCCCCCGCATAGACGTGCCACGGTTTATGTATCCGTTCACCCAGGGGTTGTCACCAGGGCGTAGCAAATGGCTACGGTAGATGCTTTCAGAGGAGCGTTTGAGCAGACACAGCTCCGTCTCCGTTGGGTCGTGCAGTGAGAGTAACGCCCCGACTTTATAGGATTTACACTGCTTCCCGAGATGCTGAATGTCTTGCATTCTCACCAGGAATGAGTTTAAACTGCTCTGAATCTTTACAGATTTTGTTTGGGGGGGGTGAAGGGGGCAAAAGGGGGTTCCAGGGGGCTGGTCCTGTTTCTCATCTGAGTGATAATGACAAAGGGGTTCAGTTGGTGAAAATTCGCCAAGCTGTAAACTTATACCCACGCTTTCCTGTGTGTATGTTAATCCTCAATAAAAAAGCTTTTTAAACCATATACAATATCTTTAATCATTCCAATCAATTAACTGAAAATGTGGTAAATTTAAAACATGCCTTTTAAAAAAATGAAATAAAAGAAAAACTTAGTGTAAACCCATAGCAGCCTGGTTGCACAATCTTTAAGATTTTTTCCAGCTATCCATAGTATATGGGGTCTGTCCGGGAGGTATCCAGACGTGTAATATGAGAACAGAGACATTTAGTGTACGAGGCGTGACGGGTGAGCAGGTGCATTGTCGTGACGAGTCCGCCAGTCCCCAGTTGTCCACAGCTGCGGCCTCTGATCACAGAGGAATGTTCAAGATTCATGCAAAATCTGATGCAGACTCATTGCTCTACTTGCTCGGTCATTTTGAATGTGACGGCCACACGGTACATGTGCTCACTCAATGGCATCTACCCGCCCCACTGACTAGTACAGTGAAGTTGTCCTTGTTCACACAGGCACATTCCAGTCCACTCTCCGTGGCTGCCAGACTACATTGATGTCACGCAAACCATTCTTGTTATAGTAACAATGGCTGGACTTTTCCCAGACAAATCTTATTGTACATCTGCAAAGCAAATTAATAAATGACAAGTAAGAAGGACTAATCCAATAATGCACATAGAATTATACTTCTCCCTGGCTGGTGTAGCTCAGTGGATTGAGTGCGGGCCCGCGAACCAGACAATTGAGGTTCGATTCCCGGTCAGGGCACATGCCTGGGTTGCAGGCCAGGTCCCTGCAGGCCAATTCCCAGCAGGGGACACACGAAAAGCAACCATACATTGATGTTTCTCTCCCTCTTTCCTTCCCTTTCCCTCTAAAGATAAATAAATAAAATCTTTTAAAAAAAGAATTATATTTCTATCTTCACCAATTACCCTTGTTTATTCTCATTCTCATCACTTTAATGCCCTCAGTTTTGTGTTCAGAACGTAAAACAAAACTTCGATGAATAACGACGCCAAAGAGCAGCGCATGGAGGGAAGCACTCGCTCTGTTGTTCCCCAGGAGCAATGGCTCAGCATTCACGGAGCCAGTGCACGTGGAGAGTTCATCAAACACAACTGCCGTGAGTGCTGGGAATCGGCTGTGCGGGGAAACTGAGGCACGGAATGTCTCGGCTAAGCCTTTTGTTATCTGGCACTCAGCTAACGTGAAGGAGCCAGGATCTGAAGCTGGGCAGTGTTGCCCCAGAGCCCCAACTTTCATACGTGGACTCTTGCATGGCCTGAAATTCAAAGAATATCATCATTTAACAACTAAGAGTGTTACTGTAGACAGCTGGGCTGCTGGGGAGTCTCCCCCATTGGCCAAGATGGCTGGGGGGGGGGTTCTTCCACTCAGCAGGCCAAAAGCTAGAAAAACAAATGATAGGGCCCCAAATGTGCCAAAAGCTAGCAAGATAACGGATTGAAAAAAAAAAAGCCTCCGCTCCCTAGCCCTGTCAGAGCTGCTGGAGCAGGAAGAGGAGGCGGTCTTTTGGATGGGACTCTGCCACTGGCCCAGGTCACGCGGCACCTGAATAACACCTCTTTGCTTTTGCACCAGCACCTGTCTCATGAGCTTGGCTTTCCCAGCAGCAGGCAGCCGAACCCCGGTCTTGCTGGGTTACAAGAGGACAAAGCTTTGAGTTTGCTACTAGCTATTTCTGCAGAGAAAGCACCTGAGATGATCTGTGCCCTTAGACAAAAGCTTGAGGATTTAAAGTGAATCCTTCTCCTTAATTCACCCATCACCATCAGAAGAAGCTGGCCCGCCCAGCTTGACTCTTCTTAATACTCTGCAGAGACGCCAATGCAGTTCCCACAGCTGTGCTCAATAGACACGAGGTTCCAGGTGATCCCAATCCACCAAAAGGTACTAGATTCCCCTATGAACGAACGTGTTTCCCTGCGTCCTGGACCATCGAGGCAAGATATTTTCGTTGTTGTCAGAAATCCATTTTCTAGTAACATCCTAGACTGGAGATTGGCAAACCTTTTTTGAAAAGAACCAGGCAGTAAACAGGTTTCGCGAGCCACACTGCCCGTGCCACAACTACTCCACTCTGCCCTTGTAGTGCAAAATCAGCCAGACCCTATGCAGCGAGGCAGCGCGACTGTATTTCAAACTGTAAAACTTTATTTACAAAAGCAGCCGATGGTCAGCAGACCCCTGGTCTAGACTCTGAGCTCCTTGAGGAGGAAGGCTGTGCCTTGTCTTTGTAGTCTTAGCCCTGGGAACTAAAATAGCCTGATTTTTAAAAAAAGATTTTATTTATTTATTTTTAGAGAAACGGGAAGAAAGAGAGGGAGAGAAACATAGATTGATTGTCTCTCACACACCCCAACTGGGAACTTGGCCTGTAACCCAGGCATGTGCCCTGGCTTACAGTCGCCTGGCAAACTGGCAACCCTTTGGTTCACAGGCTGGCACTCAGCCCACTGAACCACATTAGCCAGGGCCGGTTTTGCCAAGGAGGAAGTGAAACCACCGCGTTGCTGAGGTATCAGTTTTTGAAGAAGGCAAGTATAGATCTACAACTGGGGATTTAGGCGAATCCTCACTGTGAACACAGACATGACACTTCTCATGTTAGATCTGAGCTAGTTGGGAAAAGTAAATCAAAAGAACCTTATCTTCGCAAACTCCTTTAGCAGATTAAGTTCTACACAACTTAAAACTATGAGGTTAGCCCTAGCTGGAGTGGCTCAGTGGACTGACTGCCGGTCCTGCAAACCAAAGGGTTGCTGGTTCAATTCCCAGTCAGGGCATGTGCCTGGGTTGCAGGCCAGGTCCCCAGTGGGGGGTGTGTGAGAGACAACCACACACTGATGTTTCTCTCCCTCTTTCTCCTTCCCTTCCCCTCTCTCTAAAAATAAGTAAACAAAATCTTAAATAAATAAAACTACAAGGTTGAAACAGCTCTAAATTGCTTCTCAGGTGTTCCCTGAGCTCAGAGATGGTAAGCTCATCCTGTCTTTGCACACCCTCAGTTTTGTGTCCGCCTTAGTTTCCTACCAGAAGACCCCAAGACAGGTTATAAAACTGTCTGAATAAAGCCCTTGGTGTACTCCCACGTGTGGACAAAAAACAGGTTCTACGGAAAGTAACCTCACAGGGTGATCTGATCATAAACTTCTAACTGGGCAGGTCATGTCCATAGTCACGCCCCAGGCACATAAGTTCTTCAGTAAAAAGTTTACTGACTTAAGCAGACCCTCTCTATTGTTCTTGTGCATCTAAGTTAACCTACCTTTGAAATAAGCAAAACCCTACACTCGAATTCCCCATTATCCCTAGGCTGACAATTATAAAACATTTTGTGAGTCTCATTTCCTGCATATGCAAAATGGAGGCTAATAGTACAGCTCACAGTACTACTGCAGTAATTAAATCACTGAACCTGCAGGAAAAATCACTGAACAAGCTCAAGGCTTGGCAAGTTGTAAGCTGCCACTGCCAGCACCCCACGCCCAACGCAGGCCCCCAGGGGTTGGATCAAGTATGAGGGAGGGAGGAATGCAGGAGTATGGCAGGGTCACCCCCTCGTGCTCGACCCCTGTGAATCACTAGGGTACACCTGAACTGACGCTGCCCCAGGCCCAGCACTCTGGTTGCTGCAAAAAAGTGCACACATTCAGGCGACAGAAACCACGAAAGGACCACTTCCGCCAGAGTCTTGTTGGGACTAGCCAATTCCGGCCTCGTGGGAGACGTCTCCGGGCCGCGCCCGCGGTGGGTGGGGCCTTGGAGGCCACGCCTCTCACATTCGGCACGCATCCGGTTGCGCAGGGCACCTTCTAGCCGATCCCCGCGCCTGCGCCTGCGGGAGGCTGCCCCGCCCCGCCTGTCACGCCTTCCAGTGACGTCACTTCCTGGCGGCCGGGGTGGGGCGAGCCTGCCGCTGCTGTCCCGAGCACTTTCGGTCCGGGCTGGTCTACCTTGCCGCCCGCCACGTCCTCACGCGGGACCGGGGCCGCCTTCGCCGTCCGAGGGCCGCCCGGCCTCTGCAGGCCTGCCGCGCCCGGGTAAGGGGGCTGCGCTGCTCTCCGGCATGCTGTAGTCACGGCTCCCGCGGGGCTGGAGTTGAGAGGAGGTGAGGGCTGGAGGATGAATTAGGGGCACGAGAGGCAGAGGAGGGGGACGGGAGAAAACGGGAGTGGGGAACACGATGTCAGATGATGAGGATGGAGGTGTCTGTCCAGTGCAAAGCGGTAAAGAGTTTTTACGAGTTTATTTGAGCCAAACCGATGACAGTTGCTGGCAAGCAAAATCTCAAGGAATTGAGGAAAACGCTCTGGAGAAGGGCAGCTCTGCAGCTTTAAGGGGGGTTCATGACGTTCATTGGTGATAGACTTATGGGGCCCGGAGAAGGGGAAGTAGGGGAAATCTCCAGGGTTGAATGAAAAGTAAAACAGAGAGAGACACACTTTTTTAAATTGGCGGGTACAGGATAGTCCATAATTTACAGCACATAGAGACAATATTCGGGGAACGAGATGACTGTGAGGGTCTCTTGGGTTCTGCTGCGGTGGGTGTGGCCCAAGGGTCTGCCAAAGCAGGTGATCGACGTTCTGGCCGTATGTTATTTTAGATGTAAAATGACCAAAGACAGGCTCACGTAAGGTAATTTGTCAAGGAAACCGTAGGCATAGGACATGAGTACACATTTAGTGAGGAGCTTCCCATATGGTTACCTTTCCAGCCTCCCTGGAGCTTCTCAGGTTCAGTTCAGTATGTGGTTCCTTTTTCAGCCATACTGTCAAGGAGTGGGCATAGAGGAAGAAGCAGGAGGAGTCAGTTGGGGGCCCAGAGGTAGGAGGCAGGGTCATACCCAGGTTCCAGTTTGGGAGCAGAGGACAGGGATGTTGGGACACGCCTGTTCGGGCAGGAACTAAGAGATCCTGCAGCAGCAAGGCTGGGCCCCAAGAAGTGTCCTCACAGAAAAGTTGGCCCTTTAGGTGACCCAGACCTCCCTCAGGCCCTTTCTGCCCTGGGGTGGGGCGTTGTCCTTTTCCGTCCACCTGCCCTTCTCCACCTGTGTGACTCTGCACAGCTGCTAAGCATGTGTGTTTCCCTGTGAGGCTGATTGAGGAGGCAGCATCCACAAAGGCAACCATGAAACATAAATATGACACTTAAAATTTTGCCTATAACATTTTGTTTTCTCCCCAAAGGAAGCATCTCTAAAATGTCAATAACATCAGTGAGGAAAGTAATTACAATACAGACTTTTCCCGCTTCTATGCCAGACTTGCCTAACAGGCAAAGTAATGTCAAATTTACCCACATTGCCAACAAAAACTAAACCCTTGATCAGCATTTGACCATGATACCAAAACTGCCAGAGACCCAGAAGCAGCGGTGTAATTAAGACAATATCTGCTGCTCCAGGTTCCCATTTGCCACAGAGATGCGTCCTTTGGACCACAGGACAGTGTCTCTGTACACGGCCTGTGTTCCTTGGGTTCTGCTACCAAGGTTCAGCCCGGTAATACGTCAGGATAGGTGTCTGTGCTCTGCCCTGAATTTGCTTTCACAGTTCCAACTTCTTGGTACGTATGGTTGCCCCAGCTGGGAGTAGAGACTAGGGTCACGTCACTGCTGGTAAATGTCACCAGAGTGATGGAACATGTCCCTGCCAAGCCTGAGGGTTCCCTGTGTTGGATCTCAGGAGCCTGTGGAAGCCAGAAAAAGGAGTGAAGCAACTGCAGTCTGATTGCATGTAACTTGCACGCCGCATCCTGCATGTGGCAAATAGATTCATAAGAGTTTAAAATCAAGGAACACAAGGTTCCCAGAGACCTGGGAACCTGTTCCCAGGTTGGGAACACAAGGAATCAGAGACAGGAGGTGTTGAGAGGCATCACAAGGTCAAGGGCCAGAGAAGAATCAGGAAGTAGACACCAAGCCTATCTGATGGGGAGTTGCCTGGCTCGTGGGGTCACACTTGTGTGCACACAGCACACACAGCTACACATGTACGCACACTGCCATACACATGCCTACGCACCCAGTTACATACACAAAGTGAGTGCACGAGCGGAGCATCTCTATAAGGCTGCTTCGGGAAACTCCACAAGATCCGTTAACTTCCGCTGGGACCACTCCCTTCTGCTTACTCCCTCCCAGCCAGGGGAGCTGGTGCTCACTCCCACAGAACCGGGAATGGGGGGCATGGGCCACCCTGCAGAGTCAAGAACAGGCCCTCGCTGTGCCGCGACTTCATCTCTCTGGTATGGTCCTGCCTCCACTTTCCAACAGCATATTCTAAATGTCCACATTCACTTGTGGGGACCTGTGCTACCTTTGTGAGTTGACTCACAAGAGACAAACCATTCACAAGATTTAAAATAGTAGTCTCCCCTGTGAAAGCTTTGGTGAACCTTGTAAGAGGGTCTGGCCAGTTATCATTACCTGGAGACCAGACAGATCAAGGTCTCAGACTACGGGAGATGTCAAGGAAGAGACTGCTGGGGTGGGAGAGGAATAAGCAGGAAAGAATGAAGTCAGTATTAGTGAGAGACAGGGCAGATGGAAAGACAGGAGATTTGGCTGGTGCTGGGAGTTTACCCTTTTCAGGGGTCAGCTCCCCACAAGTTCTGCAGAGCAGAGAGAGGAAGAGAAACGTCATTGTGTGGTTGCTTCTCACACGCCCCCTACTGGCGGCCTGGTTCACAGGTCTGCCCTCAATCCATTGAGCCACCCGAGCTGGGACTGAAACTGGTGTATTTTTTTCATCGCTGCGATAGTATTTTACGTATGGATGGGACCGTACTTTACGTAATGATTTCAGTCTCTCACTATTAGAAGTAATGCCATGATGAACAGCGTTGTGGATTTCCGTTCGTGGACAGCTGACCAATGGCTTCCATGGAAGATACTGCAGCCGTAGAAAGTGCTGCATCAGGAGCTAGGACATTGAAAGTGCTGACCCTGTAGTGTCGTTTCCCAGGGTGATGCCTGCTAAATGCTGCTAGTTTGGTGCCCCCTCCTCACTGGATGGTTCCCTGTGCTTTTCCCAGGAGTGTTACTCCTTTCAGACCGTAGATGCGACTGTCAGCAGAGCGGAGCGTCTGCCTGTGTCCCCCATGTGCCACAAAGCATGCCGCAGCCCAGGAGTGCTCCCCGCAGCCGCCCTCGCCTCCTGCAAAGCCCGACCTCACCTGACGAGCACACAGTGCCAAGCCCGCAGCTCTCCGAGGAGGAAGATGGCCCAGCCCGGGAACACACCCTGAGCACCTGCTTCTGGTGAGTGTCCGGGGCACTGAGATCCAGGGCCACATGCTTGGTGATGGGACAATGAGCTCAGAGAGGACTCGGGGGTTCTGCAAGTGCAGGGAGTATCAAGGCGAAAGGAGAGATGGCAAAGTGCAGAAAGCCGAGCCTTCCAGCAACCAGAAGGGGCCTGGACTGTGGCTCTTCCCGTCAGAGGTTCTGCCTCCTGGGGTCCTCCAGGAGGATGGTCTGTAAACCGAGTGGTCATCCGTGGCCCTCATCCCCTCACCACCAGAGTCTTGGCCTACGCCATAAAAGCTTAAGACTTGTGGGAGCCCCTCCTGTGCGCAGCAGCCCACTGAGGCCGGGGTGGAGGAGGCCCCTCATCCCCGAAGGGGCCCCGGAGCACACCGGCCAGGGCCTGTCCCAGGATCCGGGCCGAAGTGGTCCGAGTTCGTTCCAGGGTGAGGTGGGAAGGAGGAAGGCTGCGCAGCACGTCCAGTCAGCCTCTGCCTGTGTCCAGGAATCCTGCAGTCTGCTGCTCGGGCAGCGGCCGGGAACCGCAGCCTGCGGGCCAAGTCCTGCCTGTGCCTGTGTTCGGAAGTAAGTTTTGTTGGGAAGGAGGCACACCCATCGCGTACGTATCCTCCACGGCTGTGTGGCCCAGAGTCTGAACTGTTGGCTGTCTACCTCTTTACAGAAAACGTTTGCCAGCTCTGCTCTAGAGACGTGTGGTAGGGAGACACCAGAGAGTGTGGGGCCTGGGGTGGGATCGGGAAGCCCCTGGCGCATCACCCCACCCCAGTGGCCTGCGGCTCCAGGCTCCAGCACAGGGCCACTCCTTCAGCAGCTGGGACTGGCTGGAGAGAGCCGTTTAAATACATTCATTCACTGAGAGCCCAGCTGCAGGGCCTCGGGGGAGGCCTCCGTGCCCCAGACTTTCCAGTTTCGATTCTTGCCTCTGTGATAGTGTCTGTTCCTTCTCTCCCCGCCCCACCCCCACCTGCTCTTGTCAAAACAACGAATGCTTTTGCTCTGTAGAAGGCAGATGCAAATCTATGGTTCGTAGGGCCGAGTAACTTTCTAAACCTGTGAGGGCCAGGAGCCCTTCCAGACCATTTTGGAGGGAAAGTGCAGGATGAAGCTACATACAAGTTAGTGACTCTTGGGAAGGGGTCAGGGCGTCAGGGAATGTGCCCGGGGGCTCCCGGAAGGGTTTGTGCCAGATGAGTTTTTCTGGTCCTGGGGCCACCCTACAACAGTCCCCACTGATCCCAGGAGGCAGAAAGCCACTGTGTGGCCCCTATAAACATCCCTTTAGGCCTCACAGGGGCTGCTTTCGTGGGCCGATGGCTAAGCCAGGCTCCAGGTTGGGAGCGACAGGAATCTCACGTGCCCGGGAGAGGCCGGTGGGGGCAGACTGGGAAGGCCGCCTCGGCCTTGTGAAGGAAGTTTTGGGTTTTGCAGGGGCGATGCGAGGTTTGAGCCCCGGAGGCCGGGCCAGCTTTGCGGGTTATCGGGGTCTCTTGGGAAGCCGTGGGGGTGGTGCAGAGGATTAGGGCCATGTGGGGGTGCTAGGAGGTGACGCATTGGTGACTCTTCCGGCTGCAGGGCCACAGAGAAGTATGGCAGTACCCTTCCTGGGGAGAGGGGCCGCCGGTTTCCATTCCGTGTCCTTGGGGCGCTCTTCCAGGAGGCCCCGTGAACTCAGGGCCTCCACAGTGAGGGCCCAGCGGGAGGGCTGAAGGCCTAGGGCGTCTCTAGGCAGCACTGACCTTGGAGCGACGCCCGGGAGGCCCGTTCCCGTCACCTGCCTTTAGACCCCCAGCAGGCCTGTGTCCTGTGCCCACGTCGAGTGGTTAGTTGTGGGGCTGAACCTGACAGAGTGTGGCCGGGCTGTTGCCTTGGGAGGGCCGGGTTTCCAGGTGGCCAGGTGGGACTCAGGCCATTGGGCAGGGCTGACGACAGGATCCAGGTGCAGCCAGGAGCAGCAGGACTTGGAGTGACGGGACACTTGAGGTCACCTGGCCCCTCAGCCCCGCACTGCACTTCTACAGGGAGGAATCCCAGCCTGCCTTCCCTTGGGAGGGGCCCAGGGTGCGCATGGGGTCAGCCCCATGCACTCAGGAAGCCGGCTGCTGGTGAGGCCTGGCCGTGGTGGCATCTCTTGAAGTCCCTGCCATCACACTGTGTCCCTCACGGGCAGTGGGGCTTCTGCCACCGGGTTCTGTGAGCCTGCTCTCTGTCTGTTACAGGGGGGCCCCTTATCGAGTCCCACAGCCCCCTGGGGCCCGCCCCTGCTGCCTCCTCTCCAGCGCCCACACCCACCCCGCCCTGACCGGGTGGCCTGTCGCTGGTCCCAGGAACCACCGCGCTGCCCCGTGGCCTCTGGCCCTGCTGGTCTGCGCTTTCTCCCGCTGGCGCCCAGCAGGTGGACCCCATCCGTCTTTCAGAACACGGCCCGGGTGTCACTCCCCCAGAAACCCCCCCTGGCACCACCACCTGAATGATGTGCCCCCTGGGGCCTCGTCCTCCTCACCCCCGCCCAGCCGCCCAGCCTCCGACTTGCCCTTCGAGTCCTGCCAGCTGCCATCGCCTCCGTGCCTCCCTGCTCCGCGCCACCTGCAGTGACCTCTTTCTGTGTCTCCCACCGGGCGGCGGCCTCCCCGGAGGAGGGAGCTGTGTGGCTTCCGCCTTTTGTCGTACGTGCGCTGCCAGGTACCTGGGCAGGCCTCGGAATCCCGGGTGACGGGTTGGTGGCCAGATGGATGGGTTGTGACAGTGGCCTGGTCTGTGTGAAGGGCGTGCTCAGCCGGCACAGGGTGCGCAAGGTGGGCTGGGCCTCGTGTTCTGCAGGCCACAGGAGAAGGGGAAGGGAAGGCTTGGCTGATCTCGGTGACAGAAAATGCCTTGGCCTCTCCCTGCTGTTCTGTCAACTCTGAGCTCTGGGGCAGGGAAGTGGGTGCTCTCAGGGGACAGGATTCAGCGTGGAGTCAGGTCAGGAAGTGCTTTGAACCTGCCGAGTCAGACACCGGTCAGTGCCCTGGGCCGCTGTGGCCGAGAGGGGGCGCTCTTCCTGGACGCCGGGGCCGGTCGAGGCACTTGGCTCTGCAACACGCCGGACCCCACCAGAGCCCTGCATGCAGGAGAGCTGCGCCCCGTGCCCCTGGCCAGGCTGTGCGTTGCTGACCAGATGCTTTCTCTCTCGACCTCAGATCCTCAGCCGAGCCGAGGGCCTTGTGCGCAGCCTGAGAGCGGCAGCCGGGGGCGTGGGGACCGCCCCAGCTGCGCCCTGCCTCACCCACAAGATGTGGGCCACCCTGGTGCTCGCTTGCGTCTCCTCCTTGTCCTTGTCCGGACGCCCAGTGGCCTCCCAGGACCCAGGTGAGTGCAAAAGCTCGGCGACAGCCCAACAGGCCCACTGTGGACCTCGAGCACCCTCAGCCCCGAGGGGCATCAGCGAGCCCCCCAGCAAGGGCTGGCAGGCTGAGTGCCTGTCGGGGAGCCCCTAGCGGGACCAGGCCTCTGCACCCCGAGAGGGTCACCTGCCTGACACTGCGAAACCTCACCCTAGAAACCTGGTCCTCACAGGGGGTCCGCTCACCCACTCAGGTTCTCGGTGGCACTTGTGCGCTAACAGGAGCTCGTGCCGCGAAGCCCAGAGCCCTTCCACGGTGGGGGTGTTGGGGCCGAGGTCTGTCCGCCCTGGAAGCCTGGGTGTGTTTGAGGGGTTTGACGGTGAATCACGCCTGTCATGGGAGACTTTTCTCTCTGTCTGCTGTTTTGGGACGTGGATCAGAACGTGAAGCTCTTAAGCCTTCGTCCAGGCTCCGAGAGGGCAGGGCGGTTTCTCGGACACGGCACAGGCGCCTCTGCAGTGGGCGGCGGGTGGCGCGCGGATCCGGCGGGCGGCACACTTGTGCCACCCTCCTCTCCCCGGGCCAGAGACGGGCACCTCAAAGGCACGAGCCAGCCGGCGAGTCAGGCTGTGAGCGGGTGTTTTTCTCCTTTTCCTCATTTCAAGGGGCCTCAGCCCTCAACCTGACAGGAGACAGCGTGGTCCCGAAAAGCACACCCAGGGAAGCAGCGGAGTCCGCACCAACGCCACCACCCTCTTCCGTCCCGTCGGCCGGAGGGGCTCTGGGAGTCACAGCAGGGAGAATACACAGGACAGATGTGGGCACCCCGGCAACTGCGGCAGGTGGCCCCGACCTCCCGGCCTCCAGGCAGCCCACGCCGCCCTCCCCGACGTCCCCTCAGCCAGCTCCGTCCTCCACGGCCGCTCTCAGCATCCCCCACACCCAGGCTCCCAGCAACGGCACGTCACCGAGAGCTGCCCCCCTGGTGCCGCTGACCTCCAGCACTCAGGTGGCTGCTGCCTCCTCGGCAAAGGCGGGCAGCCCCCCGGGCATACAGGACCCTGCTGAGCGCACATCCAGCCCCTCCACGGCCAGCCCCCCGCCCCCCGTGGATCCCCACACACCCAACTCGGTCATAGGAGGCTCTGCCATCCAGGTGTTGACTGCCCAGCCGGTGGCAGACACAGCAAGTGGGCCCACCCCGTCCCTCACGAACGCAACCGCAGCGTCCACCCTCTCCTCTGTGGCGTCTGCGTCCACCACAGCGGTGACAGCCACCAAGACACAAGCCGAGGAGTCAGCTGCCAGCACAGTGCCAGCTTCTGTGCTTCCCACCAGCTGGACGCCTGTGGTGGAGCCTGTCTCTCCCACAACCCCGCCGAGCCCTTCCCCAGCTCCCCAGGGGACCCCAGGCCTGGGCACGCCCCCCACGCCCGAGCAGGTGCAGCCCGAGGCTGTAAGTGGTACTGCTGCCACCAGCCTGACACCTGGGAGCTCAGGGGACCCTAAGGTGCCAACCACAGACTCGTGCCAGCTCAGCACCCAAGGCCAGTACCTGGTGGTCACCACCAACCCCCTGCCGCTGTCCCCGGTAAACAGGAGTGCCCTCCTGGCCGTGCTCTTGCTCGGCGTGACCCTTTTTGTCACGGTCTTGGTTCTGTTTGCCCTGCAAGCCTACGAGAGCTACAAGAAGAAGGGCTACACGCAGGTGGACTATTTAATCAACGGGATGTACGCAGACTCAGAAATGTGAGGGGTGGTCGGGCCGTTCTCCCGTTTTCCCTCCTAGACTAGACCAAGTGCTTCCAAATTCTTCGGTGCGACTTAGGAGATATGCCAGATGCTAAACTCACTGAATAACTGTCTAATTGATTCCACGATCACTAACGAGTTGCTGCTTTCCTCATACTTATTTTTGTAAGTGATCGTGCTGCAGGGCGGGCAGGTGGGCCCCTGTGTCCCTTCCAGAATCAAAGCCATGACTGCTTTCCATTCGGACAGTGTCTCCCCGAGGTGTGGGCCCCGCCCGCCATCGCTGCAGGGCGCCTTCCCAGACTCTTCCTGGTCACCAGAGCCTCGGCGGCTCCGTTCCCCAGCTGCTTCCTTAGGCCTCGCTCTTGAGCCCAGACCTGCCTGCGCTCAGCAGGAGCAAGAACCCCTCCTCCCAGCCTCAGGGGGCCTCTGACACAGCAAGGGGACAGCCTCTTCCTCCCGCCCCCTTTCTGTGGTGAGCCGTTGGAGCTTGACTTGGGTGTGGAAGCAGAACCAGTGTCAGCCCCTTGGTGTAGCCGGGTCGGCTGGACCGGCTCAGACACAACCGGTGAGGGCCCTGCACACTCAGGGTGCGCTCACCTCCCAGAACCCCAACTTCTGTGGCAGGGTGGTCCTCATTAGCACCTTGGCCCTGGCCACCCTGGAATCCGGGGAGCCCCAGGCCCCAGTGAGTGCAGGGCCTGCTCCCCTCGGCAGGGCAATTGCCTGGGCTCTGGGCTGCACGTCCCCACCCCAGCAGCCCTCAGAGCCACGAGTACTGTGTCCTTTGGTGCTGGTTGCTGCCCTGCCTGATGCAGGTAACTCGAGCTACCCCTGAGCCCCAGGAGATCAGCTTCCATCCCCACTTTTTTTTTTTTACTCCTCACCCGAGTATGCTCATTGATTTTTTTCAGAGAGAGGGCAAAACCTCTGTTGGTTGCCCCTCAGTCTGCACCCCAACCAGAGATCAAACCCACAACTGAGGTGTGCGCCCTGACTGGGAATTGAACCCACAGCCTTTTGGTGTACAGGATGGCACTCCAACCAATTGGGGGTCAAGTCCTGGCTGGGTGATGCCCCAAGCCACCCAGCCAGGACTCCAACCCATTTTAAAGGCAGGTCCACTTGAGGGGCCCAAGTCAGGGTCAAAGCCAGCCCTCCCTACAGTGGACAGTGCCAGCAGAGGCCAAGGGCACCGACCTGCCCTGTGGTCCCGGAGCCCCTGTGACTGCGGCTGACCCTCTGCCTACTCAGACTCCCAATGGCGGGGCGGACCCTCGAACTGCACAAATCGGGGGCAACAGTCGCCCGTGAGTGGGCCTGCGCAGTTGAAACCCGCACTCGGGTCAGCAGAACTTTGTTCTAGCACCTGCCACACCGAGCCTGGCCCCAGGCCTCTCCCTGCCCACCCACCCCAGGCAGAGGGAGCTGCACCAGCGAGGGCGGCTGGGTGCCCAGGCCGGGTCTGCAGGTGCCACCTGTCACTCGGCGGATGGGGGAGGGGTGGCGAGTCCTGTTTCTCTGCCCTGAAGCCTAAGGAAGGGACCGGTTTTGTCTGACCCCAGGTCCCCATCAAGAGGTCCCCTGAGCCAGGCCTGGGTGGCCAGTTCCTCTTAAGGTCTGCCGCCTCCAAAAAGGACTTCAGATGACTTGTAATAAAGGCAGGATAGTGACTCCCAGGTCGACCGAGGTAACGTAAGGGCCAAGGCCAGAGACATACCCCGGGCGGGGAGAGCGGTCAGAACTCCCACTCCACCCTGCTCATCCTCAGCTGCTTCAGGGTCCCTCAGCCGGCCTTTCTCTCCCTGGTGGGTCTGACGCCCCTCACCCCCCATTCCCCTCTCGGGCTCCACCTGACTCTGAGCTGTGCTGTGAGCAGCGACAGTTGGGCTGGAGGGGCCTGAGCCGTCCGCACAGGTGATCACAGCCTGGTGCTGGCGTGCTGGGAAGGCGGTTCCCAGCCCCCAACCTGCCACCTGGGACCCTGAGCTCCAGGACAGCTGGCAGCCTTGTTCCGGGACAGGCTGCTCAGTGAGGGGCAGGCTTCCCACCCTGGCGGCTTGAGAGTCGGGGCAGCAGGGCTCGGAGGGTCTTCCCACAGACCGGTGCCGTGGTCCTTTCTGGGCGGGAAGGATGGGGGCCACCCACAGGGCTGGCTCGGCTTGTGACCAGGGGCCTCTGCCTGGCACCCTTACACCAAAGGAACAGGGGCATCAGATGTTTTGGGTTTCCCTGTCCCCCTGGAGCCAAGGACTCCAAGTCCTTTCACCCCGAGAACAGGGCACACTCCCCACCCCTTTCTGCTTGGGAGTCCTAGTCCCAGTTATTCACAGTCACGGAGGCTGCCTGGCCGCCACACGTGCCTCAGACTCAGCATCGGCCTCGCAGGCGTGTTGGGCAGCAGGGCCCCTTCCTAGCCCTGAGCATCATTGCTCCCCTGAGCCAGAGACCCTTGGGCCAACGGAACATCCTAAATACAGCGGTACCTCCTTCCAACGAGTGGCAAGCGAGCGTCGAGTGCTGAAACATCGTTTTCCTCTTCAAAATGTCACATTTGACCGTTCTGAAGCCAACGAGTACCGAGGTGTGACCGTATTCCCATGAACAGACCATCTCCTGCCTGGGTCCCGCTGTCAGCCTGATCCAGCCATCCTCCACCCTGCAGCCAGGGACCCCTCAAAACAAACCGGCACGTTCTGTCCGCCAGCGGCCCTTCCCGGGACAGAGGCCGAGCCAGGGCAGGCCCTCTAGAGGGAGCGCTGGTCTCCAGGAAGTTCGCAGGAGGTGGAGGCCTGTCCCAATCTACAGGGGCCACAGGCCCAAGCCCTCAGCTGTCCCCCTGTCCTGCAGGCCCCTGACTGTAGCGCCTAGGTGGCCATTCCTGGCCTGCAGGAAAGCCCTGTTCAGCATTAGCTCATTGGGCATTTATGGAGCGCCCACTGTTTGCCAACCAACTGGGGATTCAGAGATGAAGCTGCCCACCCTGACCCCCAGACCACACGGTGTGGTGGGTGGGGTGGGAGATGCACAGGGAAGACGGTAGGGGGTGGGCACGGAGGAGGCCCAGACCCTCCTGGGGAGCTCAGGGAAGGCTGCCAGCGGAGGGGACTCAGAGGGGACTCCACCTATGGTGGAGGTGGCCGAGGCCTGCTGCTTCAGTGCCCACAGCAACACCACCGTGTGGGAGTCCAGGCCTGGGGCCAAGGGGGCCTCCCTCCACAGTGAGGAAACTGAGACCTGGTAAGGCCAAGTCACTTGCCCGGGATCACCCTCCAACAGGTGCAGGACGGGATGCATTCCAGGTCTGTCTGTCTGTCTGTCTACAAATGTTGGCCGTGAACAGACGCACTGGCAGCCAGCTGTGGGGTGTGGAGACTGCTTCTGTGGGCCCCCCAGGCACCCAGCAGGCCTGGCCGGTTTCCCCTTGTGGCAGCCAGCGCCTCCCCCCCACCCCATACAGTCTGAGGGCTCCCCCTTGTGGCTGAGGCTCCCTCCAGCGTCCTCCTCTCATCCCCGGTGTTGCTCCTGGGCCAGAGACAACGCCCCCACATCCCTCCCAGGCCCTCCCGCGCCCCCCCCAGAATCCCTGCAGCCCTGCTCCTCCCGCTTGGGGAATCCGCCCTGGTCACCCTGCACAGGGAGCGCTCTTGCCCCCTTGGAGCTCCTAGACCAGGGGTCCCTTTCACTGTGAGACGAGTCCTGCATGGAATTATCATTTGTGCCTGACGTACTCCCCACCGGAAACAAGCCAGGAGTTCAGGGAGAATGCAGTGACCTCACACACAGGCTTCTGGGCTTCCGTCCTGTCCCCGAACCGACCAGCTTGGTCAGTTGGGGCAAGCCACATCCACACTCAGCCCCAGTTTTCACATCTACAATTTTTGCTTCGAAATAAGAGGGGGCCGTCTGCCCAGCAGAGGTACAGAAAACAGCTAATAGTTTCAAGCACTTACTATGCACCAGACTTTAAATGTGTTAGAGCTCTTACCTCAATAACCTCAGACCCCGGGTCCCCCTGCCCCCCTCCCATCACCCTCCACCCTGCAGCCAGGCAGCATTTCAAAGGTATATTTAAACCATGATTCTCTGCTGTCCAGATCCCCGGGATGCCTTCTCACCAAGATTAGGAGAAAATCCAACCGTGAACTCAGGACGAGCCTGGCCAGAGGGAGGCAGGGTTCCAGGCACAGACCTGCGAGCACAAAACCCCAGGATGGGGAGGAGCCCAGCGAGTGCGGGGAACGGATGACCAGAGGAGAGTGGACGAGACAGACCAGGGCCACGGCAGGGCACGCGGGCCAGTGGGGAGAGAAGGCCGAGGAGGCGGGGGCTTGGGCAGATTTTCAGCCCAGAACTAATGTGATCCGATTCCAGGTTTAAAAACTGTTCGGTTGCAGGGAAGTGTTTACAGATGAAGTGACCTGCAGTCTGGGATTCACATCACAGCCCTTTGGCAGGAGGGGACACGGGTGGAAAATGCAACAAGACAACCGGTGGCTGCCGCTCCCAAAGGTGGTGCATGGGTCCTTGGGCCTCTAACCTGCTCACTCTCCCTGCTGGTGTGTGCCTGGAAATTTCCATACTGAGAAGTTAGAAAAAGAGAGGGAAGGAAGACATGGGCAATTTACCTCTCTTAAGTAAAGGCCCAGGGCCAAGTGGGGGCAGTGCAGACCCGAGGGACCCAGCTAAGAGGCGCTCCGCTGTCCCAGGAGTGATGGCCAGGCTTCGACCGGGGGTAGTTGCACGGATGGGGAGAAGCTGATGAACTTGGGGGTATATTTTGGGAGCTGAGTCAACAGACTTGTGCTGTTTCTTTACACACACCCCACGCAGGCATGGTGGAAGCCAGGATGACCCCTAGGTTTTTGGCTTGAGGAGCTGGGACGGTGGGGGAGGGGTGGAGGAGGGGGAAAGAACCCTTGTTCTCACCACCTTACACCATAATTCACTTGGTCCTTACTTCCACCCTATGGGATAGTACCCATCTTCACTCTCCCAGAGGGGAAACTGAGGCTCAGCGTCACACAGGTGGTAGGGGGCAGAGCCCAGGTTCACACCCACGGAGTCCCCCCAGCTTCCACACTCTTACCACTAGGCTGCACTGCCTCCGATGCGGGGGTGTGGAGGGTTGGGGAGGTGGAGAGCAGGAAACCAAGAACTCTCCCGTGGTCGTGTTAAGGCAGGGTCGGGTCCCCACAGGAGAGAGACCGGGGCCAGGAGCTCAGAGGTGGTGTTTGAAGCCA